AAACTGCTCTAAAAAATAGTTTATTAATTTTAAAAGAAGTTCCCTAGAAAAGGTTGAAAATACAATAGAAAATATACTCATCGTGTATCTAAATAATTGAAAGCAACAAACTTACACCACCCATACTGAATCTGCCTACATCTAAGCATGATGCCTCTCTGGTTCTTCTAACCAAATCATAAATGTTGCCATTAAAATATTTATTTTAATTCAGGACTCACTCACAGCTAATAAACAAGAATGGGAAGGAGAAATTGAAAAACAAACTGAATGCAGCTGCTGAACTGAAAGTTTCACAGCTCTATTTAATGGTATCCCTTAATTTCTTTTCTGAATAGGTCCCATACAAGGCTGAACTGCATGCCACCCAGTCAAACAACCTACATTTTCTCCTTAATTCACTTTGCAGTGTTATTCCATCATGTACATTGTTTTTAAAATTTCTCAGGAGGTGGACAGCATTACTGGTTTGTTCTTGAATTTTGATATACAGGACAAGGTAATAATTCTGGCAGCTAAAAATATGCCTCTCTAAATAAAAGCATAACAGTGATACATATATACAGGGAAACCAGTTAGAGAAAATCAGGTTTAAAAACAAAAAAATAGGCAATCAACTTTTCTTATATGTTTTGTTAAACTTATTTTTTTAAGTGAACTTCCCTATGCCCATTAAAAGTACTTCAACAAGCACTACTGTTATTATTGGCCACATTACATACCAAATGAAAATGCCTTTAACCAAATAGAGAATTAATTAGAGGGTTAGTTAAAACTTGAATATAAATAAATTTTGAAATATATATTGGATACTTGTAAGGAAAAACTGGGGTGTTATGGGCTTCCCTGGTGGCGCAGTGGTTGAGAGTCCGCCTGCCGATGCAGGGGACATGGGTTCGTGCCCCGGTCCGGGAGGATCCCACATGCCGCGGAGCAGCTGGGCCCGTGAACCATGGCAGCTGGGCCTGCGCGTCCGGAGCCTGTGCTCCGCATCGGGAGAGGCCACGGCAGTGAGAGGCCCGCGTACCGTAAGAAAAAAAAAAAAACTGGGGTATTACTAGAGGATTTACAAAGTTACATTTTGAAAAGGTACTATTTAAACAACAACAAAACAAGTGTTATGGCAAGGCCCTTTTAAATTAGATGCCTTTGTACGAAATAGCAATTAATGCAAGTTCAGAAGCTAACAGAAATAACTTAGCCAGAGAACAGAAAAGTGCCTCATCTTATAAGTAAATACATAGAGAACTTAAATTTTGATAGAAAATACATTTGATTTCCCCAAAATATTTTTAAGTATTACATAAAAAATTACAAGGAAAAAAAATAACTACTATGGTATTCATGCATTTACAAATGGCAAAGGAGCCTCTTGCCTCAAATATTTCATATGTCTGTGTGTATGTCTGAATCCGAGAATGTTAGGATAAAATGAGAAACGTGATACAGAAACTAGACAAGCAAAATAAAATGTCACCTCGTGATAGGAGCTGGATAATAGTTAGCAGCCAGAGCTGAGCGCAATGCCTTTCTCTAAGACATTGTGCAGCTACTGAATAGCTAAAATAAAATCAAGGTTTTCAAATTATTGAGAATTGAGTATTTTATGTACATACTTGTTCATACTCAAACAATAAAAGTCATATTCTGAATGGCAAAAATACTCAGAGATGAACACTAAATAACTAAGATGAATTGTAAGCAACTGCACTAAATCTGTGTCTACCAGCTTCTATAAAAGATTTTGCAAACCAATTTTGTGAGTGCTTGCTGAATTATGAACCCTCCATTTAATTCAAATTTTTACACAGATACAAAGCATTTTATAAAATTTTGCAGAAATGATGACACATTGAAAAATAAATCTGCCACATAACAAACTGGTGAGTCCACTGTATAGCCTCTGCTTCAAAATCTATGTCAAATATGCCATATTTTTTTTGCCTCATTCATTCAACTAATATTAATTTATATAACAGGCACTGAATCACTATTTCCTAATCATCTTTTGGTTCCAATTTAGAACTGACTTCCTTTTTAAGAACTTTCTCCAAAAGCAGAAGACCACGTTAACATTCACCTCCTAGCACTCTGCCCTTACTCCCCAAAGGATTTATCATCCTTTTTTAAAAAAAAGTCCCTATGCCACCAGCAGACTCCATGGGTAGGGACTGAACCAGGCACTGTGAATGAAGTCTAGCTTCCAATGTGTTTAGTTTAAACAGGTGAAATCACACCAAGCATGAATGGGCTCATAAACATTTTAGTGCCATGAACCTTTTCGGCAACATGGTGAAGCCTAGGAACCTCTTTCTCAGAATAATATTTTTTTAAAGACAAAGTAAAATACTTAGGGTTATAAAAATTGACATGTGGTAGAATATGTTTTTATTAATATATTAAAATATAGGCTCTACCATGATTTTAAACCATAAGCATTATTTAGAGAATTATATAAATAACATCAAAATAATACGAAAATATCCATTATTTCTATTACTCACAAACTCACCAGCAAGCTAGTATTTCAGTGGTTTATTGTACATATTCATAAGTGAAAGAAATTTTCATTACAGGTTAAAGAAAATGAAGATGAATTTTTTTCTTTCTAGGTTCACATACTGTCTAAATATTACCCATGGACCTCTCAGACCCAGGTTAAGAAGCTCTATTTTAGATTCAAGAAGAACTGTAAGAGATCCTAAAACTCATAAAATAGTTCTCATAAAATTCTCTTCCCTCCAAGAAATTATAAGATTTGGTGTGAGACCAAATTAAGAATACAACAGTACAAGAATGTCAATTTATATGTATTGAAGTGTTACATAACACACCAAAGGAAAGATCCATCAAAGAAATAATTGATAAGTTGGATTTCATTAAAATTAAATACTTTGATTTTCAGAAATTTTCAAGAGAATGAGAAGACAAATCACAGACTGGGAGAAAATATGTACAAAACACATATTTGATACAGGAGTGTTATCCAAAATATACAAAGAACTCTTAAAACTCAACAATCAAAAAATGAACAAACCAATTAAAAAATGGATGAAAGATACAGACAGCTCAATAAATAATATATACAGATGGTAAATAATGTATGATACATCCATACAATAGAATATTATTCAGTGCTAAAAAGAAATGAGCAATCAAGGCATGAAAAGACACAGGAGATTTAAATATCTGCATATTAGTAAGTGAAAGAAGCCAATCTGAAAAAGCCAAGAGAAAGTATTACATTTTTGCCCTGTTTTTTGCATACAGGAGAACTATGGTTCACTTATGGTTGATGAGAGAAAAATCTTTTTTTTTTCACTTTAACAACTTTATTGGAGTATAATTGCTTTACAATGTTATGTTAGTTTCAGCTTCACAACAAAATGAATCAGTTATATATATACATATGTTCCCATATCTCTTCCCACTTGCGTCTCCCTCCCTCCCACCCTCCCTATCCCACCCCTCCAGGTGGTCACAAAGCACCAAGCTGATCTCCCTGTGCTATGCGGCTGCTTCCCACTAGCTATCTACCTTACGTTTGGTAGTGTATATATGTCCATTACTCAGCCATAAAAAGAAATGAAATTGAGCTATTTGTAATGAGGTGGATAGACCTAGAGTCTGTCATACAGAGTGAAGTAAGTCAGAAAGATAGAGACAAATACTGTATGCTAACACATATATATGGAATTTAAGGGAAAAAAATGTCATGAAGAACCTAAGGGTGAAATAGGAATAAAGACACAGACTTACTAAAGAATGGACTTGAGGATATGGGGAGGGGGAAGGGTAAACTGTGAGAAAAATCTTTTTAAAAATACAGCAGTTAATCAATACAGAAAATATGATAGAATTAGAAAAACCACCATTCTATAGCCTTCAATGTAACAAAACTATGTAGTAAAAAGTTGTTTCAGAAATGAGGTCAAAATAACACTTTGCACTTGCTAATCTCCACAAGACAACCTATTTGCAAAATGTAGATGTTTGATGGGTCACTAACTTATTCTTGTGATCAAACATAGTATCATAAATTGCAAGAGAGCCTGATATAATGTGTCTCCTGCTGGGATGAAATGATGTAGACAGCAATACTTAGGAAGTTTAAAAAAAAATCTTTAGGCCTGAATGTATTTAAAAGCCTTTTAGGGAATAAGGAAAACATTATTATAATGAAAAAAATATGTGACAAATGCAGAGTTTGGATAAGATAACTGCTCTGGACACTGAAATTTAGGGGGAAAAAGGTGAAAGTAATAAATTGGATTAAAAGGAGCTAAAGAGACATAAAATGTAAGGAGTAAACTTTAATTAGACCTTGATTTGAAGCAGTTAGAGAACCCATTTTTGAGACCATTGGGAAATTTTAAATTATGACTTGGATATTAGATAATATAATGTGTTACTTTTCTGAATATAATATAATATTTGGCTATAAAGTACAAGAAGGGCCTTACTCTTAGAAAATGCATGCTTAATTTGTAGTGGGTGAAATGTCATCACGTATGTAACTTACATTCAAACAGTTCAGCAAAATACAAACACACACACACACACACACACACACACACACACACACACACTATATTAAAATGTGAAGACCTGTTTAATCAGGGTGACAGTACATCTGTCACTATATTGTTAAAAAGAAACTTGAAGTTACAGAGAAAATGCCATTCACATACATATGTAGTTTCGAATATTGAAGTCCTTGCCTTACTAATAATACAGAAATTAATGCAATTCAACAGCACTGTTTATCTACTATTATTTATCTACTGCTACTACTTAATCACAACTTTGCTCAGAGTAAAACTAATCTTTAGAGAGTTTCTATATTTTTATTATAAATTCATTCATTCAATAATCACTTACTGAAAACTATTTACTTATCTCACATACACTAACACATATATTTCATATTTTCCATTTCCAAAAAATTGGTTGGAAAACCCATAACATAAATGGGGGGCGAAGGGGAGGGAAGAACATACCGCTTGTATTAAAAGCCATACAGCACACTGGTTTTTCATGAGCAGGGAAATGGGCCACGATGCCATCACTGTCAGAATCCTCACTCACAAGCACCTTTACAAAAAAGAAGGCAAATGGAAGTTAAGTTAACCAACGACTGAGCCTGAAGGTATACACAGATACACCACTGCATCCCTGACCAAATAACATGTTTCCGCTACATTTGAAGATTATTCTTGGCAATATAAGGTGAGAATGTCACTTCAGAAATAGGAAAAGATATAACATGTCCCCAGCAGATCAATCATATAACCTCTAAAAACAGTTGGTTGACTTGACTGTACATGACAGAGACAATAATTTCTTGAAGCGTAGATTCAGAAAAAAATGAAAAGCATAAAATCAGCTATGCAGAGCTTCATCTAAGAATAGGAACAAGAGTTCTTATTGTGTTATGGCCTGCTGAAAAACTCTTGGCCATGACTGGAACAGAACAGTGAAAAACAACATAAGTTAAATACAAACAAACAGCCATATATTAGAGGAATTATCGAAATATTTTTTACTTAAAGTACAAAAGTTATGGTCTTTTGTACTTTAATCTAACTCCTAGATTTTAGATGGACACATCACTTCTTTGAAAATATTACCAAGCAAAAGTATATTGGAACAGGCAGTTTTGTATCTCAAATTTATTTCCCTTAATTTTCTTACTAAGCGTATTGAAATACAATTTACATTCCATACAATTTGCCCATTGTGAGTACACTGTTCAATGATCCCTAAGGAAAAAAGCTTTAAAATAACATGTATTCGTTTTACAAAGCAAGTAATTAACTCAAGAAACAAAAAAGTTTTACATATCTAATGTTGCAAAGGAAAAACCTACTGTACCAATATTGGATCATGATCGACATAAAGAATTTAATCTGAAGTAATCCAGGAAGTAGTCCTACACTGGCAAAGTTAATTTTTCTTTTAGAGTAAAAAGCTTTACAGAGGTATAGTTTACATTCCATAAAAGTCACTTATTTTATGTTTACAATTCAATGATTTTATACAGTACTACAACCATTACAACAATCCATTATATAGAAACATCTGATTTGTCACCCTTTCCTATCTTAATGCTTTAATCTTCTTGCCTTATTGCTCTGGCTAGAATCTGCAATTCAGTTAAGCTGCAGACTGATCATTTTTCTGTCTGTAGATTTTTTTTCATTACCACTTAAACCATTTTTAAGTATTCACTTCAGTTCTGTTAAGTATACTCATATTGTTATCTAACAGATTTCTAGAACTTTTTCATCTTGCAAAACTTAAATTCTATACGCACTAAACACTAATTCTTCTTCTTCCCTCCTCCCACCCTTAGTAACCACCTTTTAATTTTGTTTCCATGATTGTGACTACTTTAGATATTCAAAATAAAAGGAAGAATTTAGTATTTGTACTTTTATGACTGGCTATTTCCCTTAGCACAATGTCCTCAAGGTTCATCCACATTGTAACATGTAAAAAGATTTCCTTCTTTCCTAAGTTTGTGTAATATTATTACATTGTATGTATATACCACATTTCTCTTTATCCATTTATCTGGCAATGGACATTTGGATTGCTTCCACCTCCCAGGTACCGTGAATAACACTGCAAAGAACAGGAGTGTGTAAATATCTCTTCAAGATCCTGATCTGAATTATTCTGCATATAAATGCCGAAGTGGGATTACTGGATCACATGGTAATTCTATTTTTAATATTTTGAGAAACTTTCATACTGATTTCCATAATGGCTGCATCATTTTACATTCCCACCAAAAGTTCACAAGGGTTCCAACTTCTCCCCATCTTCTGACAACACTGTTAAATTCTGTTCTGTTTATAGTGGTCGTCCTGATAGGCAGGAGGTGGTATTTCACTGTGGTTTTGATTTGCTAATGATTAGTGATGTTAAGCATCTTTTCATATGCTTATTGGACATCCCTACATCTTCTTTGGAGAATTTTCTATTCAAGTCCTATGCCCATTTGTTAATCGGGTTATTTTTTTATTATTATTATTGTTGAGTTGCAGAAACTCCTTATTCATACTATATATTAATTCCTTATGAGCCATATGATTTACAATGATTTTCTCCCACTCCATAGGGTGCCTTTTCACTTGGTTGATTTTTTCCATTTAGACACAGAAGTTTTAAAGTTTGATGTAGCTCCATTTGTCTATATTTTATTTTGTTACCTGTGCTTTTGGTTTAATATCTAAGAAATCATTGCCTGATCCAATGTCCTAAAGATTTTCTCCTATGTTTTCTTGTAGGCGTTTAATAGTTTCCAGTCTAATGGTTGGGTCTATAATCTATAATCATTTTTGTATATGGAATAAGGTAAGGGTCCAACTTCATTCTTTTGCATGTAGCTATCCAGTTTTCCAAACCTCATTTGTTGAAGAGACTGCCGTTTCCCCACTGTGAGCTTTTTCCAACCTTGTCAAAAATCTTTCGGATGCATATGGTCTTATTTCTGCACTCTCTATTCTGTTCCATTGGTCTACATATCTATCTTTACACCAGTAACACATCATCTTAATTACCACTGCTTTGCAATATGATTTGAAATGAGGCAGAGTTGTGTTGTTTTTCTTTTTCCAAGATTGTTTCAGCTTTTCAGGGTCCCTTCAGATTCCATAAGAATATGAGGATGGTTTTTTTCTATTACTGCCACAAAATGTCATAGAGATTTTCATAGGTATTGCATTTAATATCACATTAGGTGCTATGGATATTTTAACAACATTGTCTTCAAATCCACAAGCACGAGATGTTTTTCCCATTTTTTGTATCTTCTTTCACTTCTTTTAACAACGCATTATAGTTTTCAGTGTACAAGTCTTTCACCTCGTTTTTGTTTGAGTTTGTCTTCTTAAAAAAAAAAATCAACAAAATTGACAGCCCTTAATTAGACTAACAAAAAAAGAGAGAAAATTCAAATAGCTAAAATTAGAAATGATTATTTAGTAACGTGTTGTTTAGCTTCCATGTGTTTGTGTTTTTTACCTTTTTTTCCCCCTGTAACTGATTTCTAATCTCATAGCGTTGTGGTCAGAAAAGATGCTTGATATGATTTCAATTTTCTTAAATTTACTGAGGCTTGATTTGTGACCCAAGAAATGATCTATCCTGGAGAATGTTCCATGCGCACTTGAGAAGAAAATGTAATCTGTTTTTTGGATTGAATGTCCTATAAATATCAATTAAATCTATCTGGTCTATTGTGTCATTTAAAGCTTATATATCCTTATTAATTTTCTGTTTGGATGATCTGTCCATTGGTGTGAGGTTTTAAAGTCCCCCACTATTATTGTGTTACTGTAGATTTCCTCTTTTAGAGCTGTTAGCAGTTGCCTTATGTATTGAGGTGTTCCTATGTTGGGTGCATATATAATTGTTATATCTTCTTCTTGGATTGATCCCTTGATCATTATGTAGTGTCCTTCCTTGTCTCTTGTAACATTCTTTATTTTAAAGTCTATTTTACCTGATATGAGTAATGCTACTCCAGCTTTCTTTTAATTTCCATTTGCATGGAATATCTTTTTCCATCCCCTCCCTTTCAGAATGGCCATCATCAAAAAATCTACAAACAATAAATGCTGGAGAGAGTGTGGAGAAAAGGGAACCCTCTTGAACTGCTGGTGGGAATGTAAATTGATACAGCTATGGAGAACAGTATGGAGGTTCCTTAAAAAACTAAAAATAGAATTACCATATGACCCAGCAATCCCACTACTGGGCACATACCCAGAGAAAACCATAATTCAAAAAGACACATGCACCCCAATGTTCACTGCAGCGTGATTTACAATAGCCAGGTCATGGAAGCAACCTAAATGCCCATCAACAGATGAATGGATAAAGAAGATGTGGTACATATATACAATGGAATATTACTCAGCCATAAAAAGGAACGAAATTGGGTCATTTGTAGAGACGTGGATGGATCTAGAGACTGTCATACAGAGACAGAGTGAAGTAAGTCAGAAAGAGAATAACAAATATCATATATTAATGCATATATGTGCAACCTAGAAAAATGGTACAGATGAACCAGTGTGCAGGGCAGAAACAGAGATACAGATGTAGAGAACGTATGGACACCAAGGGGGGAAAGTGGCGGGGGTGTGTGCGCATGTGTGATGAATTGGGAGATTGGGATTGACATATATACACTAATATATATAAAATGGGTAACTAATAAGAAGCTGCTGTATAAAAAAATAAATAAAATTCAAAAAAAATAATAAAATTAGAAATGAAACAAGAGCCATTAAAACTGATGTCACAGAAATAAAAAGGATTATAAGATATATCTATGAGGCCCTCATTGTCCTGAGACCAAAACAAGAGAAAGACAAAAAGAAAACTACAAATCAATATCCCTGATGAATAATGATGCAAAAATCTAAAAGAAAACAGGATCAAACCAAGTTCAAAACATTAAAAGGATCATACACCAAGAAAAGTGAGACTTATACTTGGAATGTAAGGATGGTTCAACATACAAAAATCAATTAATATAATATACCACATTAACAAACTGAAGAACAAAAGATGATTGATTGATCATCTCAATCAATGCAGAAAAAGAATTTGCCAAATTCAACCACTTCCATGATAAAAACACTCAACAAACTAGGAATACATGGAAACTACCTCAATACAATAAAAGTTACATATGCAGAGTCTGAGGCTAATATTACACACAATGGGCAAGACTGAAAGATTTTCCTCTAAGATCAGTAAAAAGGCAAGGATGCCAACTCTCAGTACTACCTATTCAACATAGTACTATAAGGTCTAGCCATAGCAACCAGACTAAAAGGGGGGGAAAAAGAAAAAGAAAAGAAATACAAGGCATACAAATTGGAAAAGAAAGAAAATTACCTCTGTAATAGATTTTACAGATTACACACACACACAAAATTCAACAAAGTTGCAGGATATAAAATTAAAACTCACAATCAGTTTCGTTTCTATACACTAACAAAGACCAAATTAAAAAGGAAATTAAGAAAACAATCCCATTTGCTATATCATCAGATTTATCAACTTTGTTAATC